ATAATAAACCTAGTGTTTGTGTCATTTCAAGGGCTACGGTGAACTGAAAAAAAAAGGAATAAAAATGGCTTGTCTGCCTTGTAAATGTAATTTTAAAATGCGCGCACAAAAATGAGTTTCAAAATAAGGCGCTTCTTTCGTGCACTATTTTCCAGCTTTCTTAACTCTTAACGATGCCAATCTGCTGGTAGTGTTCGGGGTCGCGTGCCTTTCCAATTTCCTGATAGTGGCCGCAATCATTAATATTTCGTGTGCTGATTTCCTTGGAATCAGAAGCCATATTGGCGATTCCTATTTCTTGGCAACGACCTCCTCCATTGGAAAAATGCAACCTCTCGTAATAACCACAGTCTTTCCAGGTACTCAGCTCTTCGTAGGTGACATTGTTCTCCTTAGACTGCGCTTCTTGTAGCTCGTATTTCTCTGGATCAGGAAAAGAAACTTCAGCAGGCATCCCGTTTGAAAGGAACCGACGGTCAAGTCTCTTTTGACGCTGACAGTGGCGGATGAGGCAAATGCTGACGACCGCAATGGCAAATATCACGCCACAGGAAGTACCAATGATGAGTGGATAGGGAAGCTTTTCTTTTACATTCTCCGTTGGATCTAACGGAAGTACGATAGAAGGATTTTGTAAAATTAATATAGAAATACCATATGTAAAATTAAAAAATTAACTCTCTAATGCCAAAGTTACTGCCACCTACGACTGCGACATCTGCTACTGTTACTACTACAGCTACTACTTTTGGCACTATACTGCCATTGTTAGTAGTACTACCGTAACAGCTAATGTCACTGTTGTTACTGCTACTACTGCTCTACTGTTGGCATTACTACAGCTACAACTAAAGCTACTGCTACTGTTCTGCCACAGCGATTGGTACTGCTACAGCTACTGCTACTGTTACTGTTGCTGCTAGTATTGGTAATACTAAAGCTTCAGGCACTGCTACTGTTTAACTATTGCTTTGACTTCTGCTGTTATCATTAATATTATTGCAACTGCTGCTGGTCCTGCTTCTGCCTCCGTTACTACCACTACTACCAATTGACTTCAATTGCTACTGTCACTGCTATACCGAAAGTTTGTAAATTACCCTCCTCTCCTTTTACGATTTTCACGTATTTGGGATCGAATGCCAAAGGGCCAAGTTTTCCATTACCAACAGCCTCTTTCAAAGGAGCTAGTGCAATGTCATGGGAATTAAGATAATCTAATACCAAGTTTTCCGAACTAACGCGCCTTGCGCTAGGGCTTCTTGACGCGGGCAAATCTCCACCTGGGAGATTTGCCCGCGTCCATTACCGCAACCCCTCTGTTGGGGGGTTGCGGTAATGGTCGCAATTGTATGTTAGAAAGTGAGGAGAATTACTACTGAGATCTTAGTAGTGAAGGGGCTATTGGCCTGGACATTTGCAACATATCACCCAAAATACCTTTTTTGAAAAAAACAAAAAATATGTAACAAAATATTAATTTAATTTATCAGATTCGCCAACAGGCAGGGACACCGCAACAGCTCGTGTAAATTACTGCGGGCTCAGTAAACCCACTCATTTCACCTTAGGGGAGGACATCCACCACACAGTAATTTCGTGCGTGGGAAATATACGTCTCCTACCCCTAACGCTGCAGGAGATGGGGCCTACGGTTTATTCGTCCCTATCCGATAAGACTAGAATATCTATCCATTTCTTGATATTATAGAAAGGCAGCAAATTCTTCTCAGTTATTTTAAGACCATGAGTATTAGTCTGGCCGGGGCTCGAACCCTCGACCGTCCCGCTCAACACAATCCCGCGCTCTAACCAATTGAGCTAACAATAACAGTGAGGATACAGGTGCAGGAAGTAATAATGATAATACAGATGATAACGATAATACTACTAAATAATATGATTATTTTCATTATTATCATTATAACTAGAAATCAATAGTTCAAATCCTAAAGTGGTTTGCAGATTTTTTACCGCAAATTTGCGAATATAGCAAAGGCACGACAGGACACAAACTCTTCTTTGATTTCATAACATTCTTCACTCATTGCAATGGAAACACAAGAAATTTCATGATAACAGTAAATGTAAATACTATAGATACTGAAATCGGTCGAACAAAGACTGGTATAAGTTCATTTTTCTATGAAAAATGAACTTCAGTTTTTCCATGGCATCTTTCTTAGCCCCTCTTATAAGTGCTGACATGAAATCTACAAATATCTTCTTCGTAGTCCCCTCCTGTTGCATTTGGCTTAGATGTTGTTGTTTTTTCTCGGCCTTCGGTTGTGGAAGTGTGTTGAGCCATTGTGGAGGACACAGTAGAATATTTAAAGGTAGATGTGGTGCTTATATGCTGTATATTCAATGTTATTCAATACAATCTACTTTTAGCAAAACTCAAAGCTTATGGTGTGGGAGAGGGAAGTTTAGCACTCTTCAAGGATTATTTTTCGGGTAGACAGCAGAGAGTCAAGATTGGGAACACCTTTTCCAGTTGGAAAGATGTTAAAAGAAGAGTTCCGCAAGGAAGTGTTTTGGGGCCTGTGTTTTTAAGATATTCATCAACCACTTGTTTTACTCGGTTACGCAAGGTAAATTTCATGCATATGCGGACGATCATCAGTTATACTCTTGTGATGTCGACCAAGTAGCTCTAGAGAACTGTATTTGTCGGGAAGTGAGAGTTGCAAATAAGTGGTATCGTAGCAATGGAATGATTGTAAATGAGTCAAAACACCAAGCTATAGTCTTGGGAAAAACAGGCCACTCCTTCTCTTTTCCATTAAAAGATTCTTTGGATATATTTGGAATAAATATTGACAATAGGTTGCGTTTTGATAATTATATATCAACTATTTGTAAGAAGATAAATGGCCAGTTCAATGTAATGCTAAGATTTCGTAAACTTATCTCTAAAGATACTCTACTAAGATTGTATAAGGCTTTTATTATGCCACATTTTAACTATTGTTCGTCTGTATGGCACTTTTGTGGTGC